TACACTCTCGAAATAGATCGGGTCTTAGCCTCTCTAAATCGTTGAACTGGCTTGGGTCTTAGCCTCACCAATTCGGTTGCATGATCGAATTCTCACGAACCCTAACACATAGTTTGAACAAACGTTCTTTTCTATTTCATCAATTCCAAGACATGAAAAACAATGAGGGAACATCCCTATTTATAGATCCTAATTATGACTAATTCTAATCTGTCTAGGAAACTAATTAAAGCAATTAAATATTAAATAACCTAAACAATCTAGATATTATTGTGCAAGAAGGAAACTAAATATCTAGAGTCCTAAATTGACTAGATCTTGATCTTGCTTGGCTTGCCCTCCAAACAATCCAAATCACACGCCCCATACTATTTCGGCCGCCTCAATGCGTTACGCGTGCGCGCCGCCCTTCGGGGTTTCCTAATCCTCGTCGCGCGCGGCATCGCGCGCGCGCGTTTCGCACGCATCATCCGCCGCCTCTGCTTCTCCTAGTCCCGCGCGGACTAGGCCTCGCGCGCCTGCCTCCCAATCGCGCGCCAACGCGCTCGCCCAGCTGCCGCCGCCTTCCTCATGCGCGTGTGCCTCATCACTCGGTACTCCTAAGCCCGCAAGGTTTATGCCTTGCGCATGTGCGCCCCAATTGCACGCTCTCGTTCGTGCGCCCTTGCTGCTGGCCTGTTCGCGCGCGTCCTCGCCACTTGCGCGGTTGCTGCCCACACTCGATGCCCCCGCATCCTTCTCGCGCTCGCCTGCCCGCTCGCGCGTACCACCGACGCCCGTGTCCCGATTGTTTGCGGCGCCCCCTATTGCGCCCTCCGCTTTGTGCGCGTCGCGGATCCCTGTGGTCTACTTATCCACCGCGCACCCCCATGCACCCGTCGCATCTCGTGCTTGACCACTCGGCCATTCGCGCGCATCAAGGCACGATACGCGCCATACACTCGTGCCCGTACCTTCATCGCCGGCCGACTCCGGTTGCTCGCCGATCTCCTTCGAAGGCTCTCCCGATGGCCATGGGTCCCAACCATCCAACCTAGCACAATCTCCGGCACGCCATACCCATCCATCTTCCATCCTTATCCTACCTCGCCTTTTAGCCTCCGACCGCCATGCCCGTCTCTTCCTTGTACAAGGCTTGCACCAACAACACGAGTCTTTATTCTTCGCTTTGCGTTTCCTTCGTGCTCGTTTGGTCTTGCGCTTCTTCGGTTTAAGCTTGGATTGCGGACCACACCCTTTCGGCCAATCTCGTACGCATGATGGCCGGTATATTGGACTGGTCGGCTCCTCCAGCATGTTTTCCAGCCATATGTCGAGACCATCGTCCTCTTCCTCGTTGGACTCGCCCGGGTTGATGACCACTTCCGTATCATTCCCCTCCTCTTGAAGACTTTCCTTGTCCTCAAGGATTAGAAAATTAAGCGCACCATTTTTATGGTTTTGAACTTCACCCTCCATTGCTCCTCGGCCTTCTACGAGTTGTTGCTCGTATTCTTCTCGATTTCTTCGTTCATGGAGCTCGTCTAGATATGTGCTCTCCCATGGGGTAAGTTCTCTCTCCAAACTCTCCAATAATTCGAGATCTTCCCAATCCATCTCGTCCATTGGCACATAAGACATTTTTTTTTAAGACTCTAAAAAAAATCGAAAAAATAAATGAAAAATTAGAACAAGAATTTCGAAAATTTCGACCCAAAAAGAAAAGAAATTCGGCCCCTTAACAAAAGGTAATAACCGACAAAATCAAACAAAAGACTAGATGACACTTTTTTTTTTTACTCACGAAATTTTGAAAATTAGGGGATAAAATTCGAAAAATTCGAACACGAAAGACTCAAAAAATCGAACCAAAGAAAAAGAACGGGATAGAAAAAGTTCACGAACACCCAATCGATCACTCTCAATGAAAGCACCAATAATGACGGATCGGGTGTTGCGTTCCCTCGACTTGTCTCGATCACGGCTTCGCCACGGCCTTGCTCTCGACGATAGGTGTGATCGACTCGGTTATTAGCCTAACTCTCTCACGATACTTGAGTTCACTCGGGTATTAGCCTCGCTACACTCTTTCGAAATAGATCGGGTCTTAGCCTCTCTAAATCGTTGAACTGGCTTGGGTCTTAGCCTCACCAATTCGGTTGCATGATCGAATTCTCACGAACCCTAACACACGGTTTGAACAAACGTTCCTTTTCTATTTCATCAATTCCAAGACATGAAAAACAATGAGGGATGATCCCTATTTATAGATCCTAACTATGACTAATTCTAATCTACCTAAGAAACTAATTAAAGCAATTAAATATTAAATAACCTAAACAATCTAGATATTATTGTGCAAGAAGGAAACTCAATATCTAGAGTCCTAAATTGACTAGATCTTGATCTTGCTTGGCTTGCACTCCAAACAATCAAAATCACACGCCCCATACTATTTCGGCCGCCTCAACGCATTACGCGTGCGCGCCGCCCTTCGGGGTTTCCTAATCCTCGTCGCGCGCGGCATCGCGCACGCGCGTTTCGCACGCGTCATCCGCTGCCTCTGCTTCTCCTAGTCCCGCGCGGACTAGGCCTCGCGCGCCTGCCTCCCAATCCCGCGCCAACGCGCTTGCCCAGCTGCCGCCGCCTTCCTCATGCGCGTGTACCTCATCGCTCGGTACTCCTAAGCCCGCAAGGTTTAGGCCTTGCGCATGTGCGCCCCAATCGCGCGCTCTCGTTCGTGCGCCCTTGCCGCTGGCCTGTTCGCGCGCGTCCTCGTCACTTGCGCGGTTGCTGCCCACACTCGATGCCCCTGCATCCTTCTCGCGCTCGCCTGCCCGCTCGCGCGTACCACCAACGCCCGTGTCACGATTGTCTGCGGCGCCCCCTATTGCGCCCTCTGCTTTGTGCGCGTCGCCGATCCCCGTGGTCTGCTTATCCACCGCGCACCCCCATGCACCCGTCGTATCTCGTGCATGACCACTCGGCCATTCGCGCGCATCAAGGCACGATGCGCGCCATACACTCGTGCCCGTACCTTCGTCGCCGGCCGACTCCAGTTGCTCGCCGATCTCCTTCGAAGGCTCGCCCGATGGCCATGGGTCCCAACCATCCAATCTAGCACAATCTCCGGCACGCCATACCCATCCATCTTCCATCCTCTTCCTACCTCGCCTTTTAGCCTCCGACCGCCAAGCCCGTCTCTTCCTTGTACAAGGCTTGCACCAACAACACAATTCTTTATTCTTCGCTTTGCGTTTCCTTCGTGCTCGTTTGGTCTTGCGCTTCTTCGGTTTAAGCTTGGATTGCAGACCACACCAT